TGGCATCTTTATACTCTTCATATCTGCTGTTTCATTGAACTTACCGAACACGGTCCTGGCTGGGACTGACTCCCTATTAAGCCAAAAGGAGACCTGTGACAGGATGACGGTCATTATACACGGCAGGTAGGTCTGTATGACAAAGTATCCGATTTTCCTCTTCAGGTGGAAGTGAGTTGTCATGACAATATATTCACCTGGAAGAGAGGGAAGAATACTGATAGACTCAGAACATAAATGGCGCGTGTTCTCATGTTTGCATGGAGTGGGTGAGCTGTAGAACATCTGTCACCTTCTTATGGTTGTCTCTGCACCATCTGGGGAGTTTCGGATTCTTGACCCGTTCCAGGATAAGATAACTCATGTCCCGGGTCATAATCCCAGGTTTGGACAGGGGAACAGACTGTGGAGCAGGTGGGTGTAATGGGTTGGGGGCGGGCTTTATGAAATCTTTGCTAAGAATGGGGGGAAACGAGTCAGGAAAGGGGTGGTACTGTAGGTTCATGGGAAGAAGGGGGAACCATTGAAGTATGGGGTGTATCCCCTTCCAAATAGTCCTGACCCCTTCTAACCAGTCCTGGCCCCTTCCAACAAGTCCTGGCCCCTTCCAACAAGTCCTGGCCCCTTCCAACAAGTCCTGGCCCCTTCCAACACGTCCTGGCCCCTTCCAACAAATCCCATCCCCTTCCAAATAGTCCTGGCCCCTTCTAACCAGTCCTGGCCCCTTCCAACAAGTCCTGACCCCTTCCAACAAGTCCTGACCCCTTCCCACAAGTCCTGGCCCCTTCCAACACGTCCTGGCCCCTTCCAACAAATCCCATCCCCTTCCAAATAGACCTGGCCCCTTCTAACCAGTCCTGGCCCCTTCCAACAAGTCCTGACCCCTTCCAACAAGTCCTGACCCCTTCCCACAAGTCCTGGCCCCTTCCAACACGTCCTGGCCCCTTCCAACAAATCCCATCCCCTTCCAAATAGACCTGGCCCCTTCTAACCAGTCCTGGCCCCTTCCAACAAGTCCTGGCCCCTTCTAACCAGTCCTGACCCCTTCTAACCAGTCCTGACCCCTTCCAACAAGTCCTGGCCCCTTCCAACATGCCCTGGCCCCTTCCAACAAATCCCATCCCCTTCCAAATAGTCCTGGCCCCTTCCAAATAGTCCTGGCCCCTTCCAACAAGTCCTGGCCCCTTCTAACCAGCCCTGGCCCCTTCTAACCAGTCCTGACCCCTTCCAACAAGTCCTGACCCCTTCCAACAAGTCCTGGCCCCTTCCAACAAATCCCATCCCCTTCCAAATAGTCCTGACCCCTTCTAACCAGTCCTGGCCCCTTCCAACAAGTCCTGACCCCTTCCAACAAGTCCTGACCCCTTCCAACAAGTCCTGGCCCCTTCCAACACGTCCTGGCCCCTTCCAACAAATCCCATCCCCTTCCAAATAGTCCTGGCCCCTTCTAACCAGTCCTGGCCCCTTCCAACAAGTCCTGACCCCTTCCAACAAGTCCTGACCCCTTCCCACAAGTCCTGGCCCCTTCCAACACGTCCTGGCCCCTTCCAACAAATCCCATCCCCTTCCAAATAGACCTGGCCCCTTCTAACCAGTCCTGGCCCCTTCCAACAAGTCCTGGCCCCTTCTAACCAGCCCTGGCCCCTTCTAACCAGTCCTGACCCCTTCCAACAAGTCTTGACCCCTTCCAACAAGTCCTGACCCCTTTCAACAAGTCCTGGCCCCTTCCAACAAATCCCATCCCCTTCCAAATAGTCCTGACCCCTTCTAACCAGTCCTGGCCCCTTCCAACAAGTCCTGGCCCCTTCTAACCAGCCCTGACCCCTTCTAACCAGTTCTGACCCCTTCCAACAAGTCCTGACCCCTTCCAACAAGTCCTGACTCCTACCAACAAGTCCTGACCCCTACCAACAAGTCCTGACCCCTTCCAACAAGAGGTACCAGTCCTGTGCCAATAACTGGAAAATTCCCTGAAATAAGTCTCACAGTTGTTGTCTATCATCGTCACGCATAGCAATGCTTACCTGTACTCGATCGGATTGTCTCCGTCCCTAACACCAGGCCGAGCAGGTCATATTGGTTGAGTCTGGAGCCATCTGGGGCGACGGCCACAGATTTGTCAGAGCCATTGGTCCAAGCGTAAACAACTTCTGAACTGGGATAGGCATCTGTAGAACAAGAACACAGAACCCCGGGAGTCTCAACTGCCCACTGAACATCCATAAAGTAAGCCAGAACATATAGTAACATCTATCTATCCAATTACTATTATCTATCTATCCAATTACTATTATCTATCTATCCAACTATCTATCTATCTATCTATCTATCTATCTATCTATCTATCTATCTATCTGTAGAATATCTCTCTCCATACTCCACCACTACTGGCAACAAATAATATCTACAATCATTAGAGTCTTTACATTGACCATAGGGCCTATGCTATGCTTGTTGGGTATTCTTGACTTGGCCAAATCTGGACGGATTTTCTGAACTCACCTCATCCAGATCTCCTTTCCAAGCCAGAACAATGATTGTTTTGAAATGAATGTCCCCAACCCCACCTACGTTATCCATGTAGACTCTGTGAATTCCATGCTCCGTTTAGAACATCTCACGTATAAGCTGTAGGGTAATCCACAAAACTTTTGAAAATATCTGGTGGGCCTGGTTGACTACTCTAGATTGGCTCCACATAGTCTGACATGGTCTGGCCTCCTTGACTCTTCTAGGTTGGCCACACATAGTCTGACATAGCATGGCCTACTTGACTACTCAAGGTTGATCACACATGGTCTGACATAGTCTGGCCTGGTTGTCTATTCTAGGTTGGCCACACATAGTCCGATATAGTATGGACTGCTTGACTACTCTACGTTGGCCACACATAGTCTGACATAGTCTGGCCTGGTTGTCTATTCTAGGTTGGCCACACATAGTCTGATATAGTCTAGCTCGGTTGACTACTCAAGGTTGGTCACACATAGTCTGACATAGTCTGGCCTGACCTAAA